GATTCCTCAGCACCACATAAGCAAAAAGAAAAAAGCCGGAAGTGGCTCTGTGACTCAAGTAGTAGAGCGCTAGCCTTGAGCTGAAGAGCTGAGGGACAGCGCCCAGGCCCAGAGTTCAGGCCCCATGACCGACCAAAAAAAAAAAAAAAAAGAGCAAATAAACTGATATTTACATATGTTCATTGGAGGCATAGAACTAAAAATGATTTATTTTATGTTTTTGCTCATACTGCTTTCCCACATTCTACAGGAAGCAAAACAAATCCTGAGATTATGAAACCTGGGTGGTCCATAAATTTGATGACAGTCTACATTCTTTCCTTTGACCTGGGAGATTTCCTCTGACATTTATTCCTCTTTTACAGGTAGCAGCTCTACACATGCATTCTCTTAACTAGGAGATAACGTTATCATGAATACGCACAGGTTCCAAATCAACTATACTCTTTTGCAAGGAAGTCTCATGATAAAACTTTTTTTTTTTTTTTTTTAGAGAACTGCTAATGAAACCTTTAGGTTTCTTTAGGATTTTTGAATTTTAATAATATAAATGTAAGTCCTATACCCAAGTTTAATTTTTTTAAAACTAAGTCTGAAAGTTACAGAGTCCATAAAATTTACTGCATTTTATAAAGTCCAATAGAGAACATTAAAAATAGAGTTCAAGTCTGGTGCTGGTAGCTCACGAGTGTAATCCTAGATACTCAGGAGGCTGAGATCTGAGGATTCCAATTCAAAGCCAGCCCATGAAGGAAAGTCGGTTGGACTGTTATCTCCACCACAAGTAGAGCTATGGTTCAAGTGGTAGAGTGGTAACCTTGGGCAAAAAAAGCTCAGGGACAGCACTCAGTTCAAGCTGTAGGACAGACACACACACACACACACACACACACACAAGTACAGATCAAGAGATCTGACGAAGTCTGAAATAAGACAAAACTTACAGCCTGAAAGGATGTTGATTCCATAGACATTCTGCTCAATCTGCCCATAGGTAAGAATGTTGCACGTAAGCTGAACGTTCAGTGAACCCACATTTGTAAAGGTGACGCTAGATGCTGTTCTGTTTACAATGGCATATTGTTCTTTAGGAACAGCAAAATGGTTTGTTTTCCAGACAATATAACTAGCATTTACATGAAAATAGTCCATACACTTTTCTTTCAGCACACAAACTGCAGTGAAATTTGAACCACGTTGTACAACTGGAGACTCAGGGCTGATATAACCACATGGCTCCAGAAGTTCACCTGAAAAAGAACAACAGTTTTGAAAATGTAGAAGTAGATGGGGCTAAGGGTATTATTATAGCTCATGGCAAGGTGCTTACTGGTGTGCCTGAGATCCTGGTTTAATCCCCAGCACTGTAAAAGCAAAAGCAAGCAAACAAACAAACAAAAAGCCTGGCTGTCCTGGTACAGAATGATACCTGGCTGGCGGCATTCACTGCACAGTCACTCAGGCTTCACTAAAATATTTCCTAAAGCAAGAAGGAAATATACACTGAAAGTTAACATGGCCAAAGAATAAGAATGGGACAAAACAAAACAAAACACAAGTATATTTGGGTGTCTCAGCTGACAGTGTGCTATTATGCCTTCCAAGACTAGAATACTAAGAAGGAAAAGCTCCATTTCTCTTGGAATATTTGCCTTGCAATCCAGCCAAATGTAAAGACCACATGAAAAGGCTATGTATGTTGCTCTGGCCAGTGGCTCCTGGCAAAACCCTCATCTGCGCCACTAACATTAGGCATACAAGTGAAAGGGCCCACAGAGGACTCAGCACTCTTTGAATACACTAGCTGAGGCCCCTAGGATTGTTGAGTAAAGTCAGTCTGGCTATGTCTCGCTGTCTGCCTGTCCTGACCCAAATAAAAGTTGAAACTATGCTATATCTTAGCTGCCAGGAAACTATGTTACTCTGTATAAATAATATTCATATCTAAGTAAATAATGAAACTGCTATACTCTGACCACATCTATTTCTGATACATTTGTTTAAAAAGTCAATGATTTTAATGGTAAACTGCAATAACTCTCCGTATTTACTAATTCTTCACAACAACACCTATCAGTACAGACCATGATGAGCCACATTTATAGATACTGAGACACAAATTATGACTAGCCAAAGTCCTACAGTTGTTAAGAGGGAGCACTGGGATGGCATTATATTTTTAAATATAATACAGACAATCAAGAGAAGAATCCTAAGGGCAGTGAGCTTGCATAGGAGTGGAAACCCATCATATACAAAATGATTAAGATAACTTAAGTTTAGTTTGGGGAAGAGCCTAGAAACAAGGAAAGAAGTCCTTGAGTACTCGAAGAAGTCATAAGAAAGAAGAAAATTAGGACTACTCTAGAATTAGAATTAATGGGGAAAAATTATAAAAAATTATCTTCATGAGTAAGGAAGGTTGGCTATAGCTCAGTGATAGAGTATTTGCCTGTGGTGAAACATCAAGTTTTTTCTTTTAAACTGTCACAGGCCTACATGTTTGATCTGTAACTCCACTATGTACGTACCTGTATGTCATAGCTATATCCATCTGTTAAGAGTTTCTAAATATGTATTATTACTTTTTGCATGTATCTCATTTTGGATCAGTAATGACAAGATCTCAGCTGAGCATCAAGCTCAGGATGAGCGTTTTAATAGTGTTCCTTCAGATGTCTCTTCATTCTGACAATGCAACCACATTGCTCAGTGCTCAGTACTACTGTGGGCAATTAATGAGTGAAGTACAAACAAATCTCTTGTCTTAGTCTCATTATGTATTCATAAACTGATTTGATAAATGGAAAAGATAATAAGAAAATAAAAGCAAAAAAGCCCCAACACTTTTTGCCCCATCTTAAAATTATTCTAAGTAATCAGCACTTAGTATTGCTGAATGACCAAGAACTTGAACTCAAATTATGTAAAACAATCTTCATAAACTTTACTTACTAAAATAATTGTAATACATTCTCTCATTAATAATCCTAGAAAGAATAAACATGATAGCATAATTATTATTGATTATTAATTAATTATTAAATATAAGCTTAATGATATAAGTATATAAAAATATATCAGCCTAATCATATACTTAGAAATCAGGACATATCATGAATCTTACCTAAAGATTCAGCAGTGAGGAAAATAACCAAAGCTTGCACTAGCCAGAACTGCAACTTCAACATCTTGTACAATTATTTCTGAAACAGACACGGGTAATATTTTAATATTTTATATTTTTCTTATATACACACAACAAAAATCTGGGTGCAATGGAATACATCTATATCCAGCAATGTGGGAAGCTTAAATTAGGACACAATTTGAAAAAGCAGTTAAAATTAAAAAGAGGGCTGAAGGAAGGCCTGGCTGAAGGGAGAGAGTACTTGCCTAGCAAGTGTGAAGACCTGAGTTCAAACTCTAGTACAGGGAAAAGAGGGAAGGATGGAGAATAGGGATTACTTATTGGATTTTTGTTTTTTGTTTTGTTTTTGTTTTTTGGGTCCAGTCATGGGGCCTGAACTCTGGGCCTGGGCGCTGTCCCTCAGCTCTTCAACTCAAGGCTAGCGCTCTACCACTTGAGCCACAG